AGGGTGGACCTGGGAACACCAGCAATTAAGAGGTGGTTCCACACTCCTCAAAACCCCCTGATCAGAGATTGTAGTTGGATGTAGTTTATCATCTTGGGATGCAGTTGTAGTTTATCATTATACCCCAGACGTGGATGTAGTTTATCTTCATATTAAGGACACGAGAAAGAACTATACTAAATAACAGAAACCACATAACTTGAGTACTTTCAGCATCATCAAAAACTAAAACTGGATAGCACATGTAAGTAAGAGAAAATAATGACATAATCAAGATACTGATGTTCCACACAACTTCAAACAATGGATTAAGGAAGGAAATCACTTTCACAACTAGAAAGAGCAATATCAGTGATTGAACTTGAGAAAGCTATTTACCTGAAAGATTGTTTTAATAGAAAGATTTTTATAAATTTCAATCTATGATAGCATTGTTTGCTCAGTCAATTAATGCAGAACGTTTCCTTATAAGGAAACTTAATATTACCATTACCAAAATATTTTAGCCAAGCTATTCTACAATTCTAGTAATTTTAAAAGAATCATTTCAAAACTTGGTTGGACATTTAGACACATTCTTGTGTTACCCTCAACATTTTCTTTGAACAGAGAAGGAATTGGAAAATACCTGTGTATAAATTAGAACCACCTATCTTACATGGGTGGCTGTAAATGATGTTATCTGTGCCTTGAGTTGCTAGAATAGTTTGGTACATTAGCCACCATTTTCTGTTAATCTTGTTCTGAGAGAGACTTCTGGTTGTAGAATAGATTAACTAAAATGTTCTGCTAACAATGTCAATAATACAATGAATGAGCTCATTTTTCTGAACATGGGCTATAATTATCAGTTCAATAAAACAGTAACATTTTAGTTTAATGTTCAAAGTTAAAAAAGACACTGATTTTAAAAGAATTAAATAGGGAAAATGTGTTGGTATTTCATAAAAATGTTTAATTCTGTTTCGTGATTAATTCAACTTATTGAAATTCTTTCAATGACTAATTTATATCTAATGGCAGTTTTTACACATACATTAATTAAAGAATTCTTAGACTTCATTTGAAAAAGAGACTGGAAAAGTTTTTTCATAAATATTTCTGCCATTCAAGAATTTATAACTATTTTAACCACACAAATTTCAGATACACAAACAATTGAAGAGTTACTTTTCAAATTTCATTATAATCTTAAGTTAACTTTCAAGTAATTTCAATAAATACGTTTATTTTTCTGCATATACATAAGTGTGACTCTTGTCAAATGACTATGACAGCAAAGCATTTCATTACTATATGACTGAAGAGCTACTGACTTTGTCAGTCTTTGAGAGATTTAAACTTCTAAACTTATCAATCTACAAGAAACATACAAAAAAAAAATCATCAAGTTTTTGTTCTGCATCAAAGTCATCACGGAGTGAAGAGATGTCAACAATATTACGACTTCTTAATCAAGAATAATGAACATTTTGCAGGCAGTCCATTGTAATGAAGAGGGAGGAGGAGAAAAGGGGATGATGGGAGGAAATGGGAAGTTTTGCAGTGCCTCCTTTATCCTTAGGAGAATGTGCAAAGCAATCATAGGCTGTGGCCACATGGGACAATTTGTTAGGGACGCTTTTATGGTATCCTATGAACCAGGGGAAGAGAGGAAACCTGATTTGTTCCTGCAAGGTGTACAAGACAGTTCTCATATGACAATGAACGACCAAGCCTAAAAGAAAACCCCACCAGAATCATTCATACAGTCTGTCCATCTGTCTAAGTATAGGCATAGAAGGTGTATGTATAATCAGTGTGATAAACCATTGCTTGCGTAGACGAGTAGTTTGTCTGGGCAGAACTGTGTGTGTGTAAGTCAAAGTGTCCTGCAGACAAGTTTCAAGTAGACAAATGGAGAGTGGAATGATTTTAATGACAGATTCAATGAGTTATTTTTAGATTGGGGCTATTAGAAGAAGTCTTCAATTTGGTCTGTTGAAGCCTTAATTCCACATTGCAGCCACAATTAAACAAAGCCCTTAAGCTTCCAGTTGATCACAGAGGATAGGCATGGAGAACTTATAAAACAAAAAATTACTGAAACATTAAAACGGATGTAAGAAGAAAAAAAAGAAAAAAGATTGGTTCTTAATATAGTTGTATATTATACATCTTTTAAGACTGAATTGTTTCATTAAAGACATGGCTAAATTAATATCTTTTTTGTTTTAAGTCTATATTTAATCAATGAACACAAAAGTGCCAAAATGAAGACTTTGCTGTGAGCTTTAGAACACACCAGTTATTTACTATTTTAATTTACCTTTTAACAATTACTTTTATTCCAGTATTGAACAGTTTTATTGATTTGTTTTTTATGGCTTATTAATCCTTTGTAGGTTATTTAAAATCATAACACATTCCAGATTGTAGGAAGCCACTTACAGTACCCGTGTACCCAAGCAGTTCTCCATCTAATTACTAACCAGGTTTGACATTGCTCAATTTGATTGAATGAGAACTAGTGAATTTATTTATATCACTAATTAGAAATATAGTTAATAACATTTTAAATATATGCATACAATTAATAATATTCTAAAAGTGTTAAAATATTGATAATAGAGATGTTAAAATCAAATCTTATACAAAGTAATTATCGGTTTCTAATACTAGTGTATATTAAGCATTAATAAATCTTATGACAAAATATACACAAGGTCATTCTCTCTCACTTTCTCTTTAATATGAATATGTGCATAGTATGGTACTTATCAGAAAGTAGGCTGGGTATGCCAAATTCTGACCAAGGTCATTGCATAAATCCTCTTGAGAAAGGTATGAAACCATTTCTTTTTCACTCACCAGCCATGGGTTAAATAGTAGGGTAGATTGGGCTCTCTAGCCTTGGTTGGTAACCAGGCAAAAAAAGTAAAACCTGAGGATGGCTGTTTGGTGATTTCATGGCACACTGTGCACCAGTTCTGTTGGCAGTCTTTCCAAAAAGACACAAGCATTCACCACTACATTTAAATCATGTGCGGAGAGCCTTATGCTACAGATCTAAAACTGATCTTTTGGGAATTTATGGGACAAAACCAATGGCAGATTCTACTACATATGCACATGCACACACACACACATATGCATAAAAAAGTGAGAGAGAGAGAGAGAGAACAGATTTCAGTAAGATTAATTATATTAATTATAAATAGAAATATCAATGAAAATATCAGGGTTTTCCTATAAAAATTTTCTCGTGAATCTTAATTCTTAAGTTAATGATTGAATAAACACATGGCAAGTTCTTTAACAATAAAATATCTGTAGAAATTCCCCTATCACATTGTTGAATATCTGAGCTTAACAACTTTAACAAAATATTGCAATAACAATCATAAATTTAAATGCTGGCTGTTATTTAAAGAAGTAATGGGGTAGAAATGAAAAGATTTGAGACTGACAACTTTTTCCATTTTACTGAAATTGTTGTGGCTTATTAAGGGCCAGAAAGAAAGACAAAGAAAGAAGAAGGTGGGTTGAACAAGTGCTATTGAAATAACAGAATATATATATACAATATTAGAGTGTTATTAGTCAGAAGATAGAAATGTACATCTGAACTGTCTGGTTACACTGCGTCCTGACTGCCCTCCTTAGGAAGTCTTCTCGCAGGTTAGTATTTACAAAGGAGGAAGAGTTCATTCTAATGTAGACAGGTCACCATAAAACATGGTAGTTTTATTGCCCTTTCTTTCTCTCATTTTCTTACTGAAACCAGGTAGCATCACTGATATGTCTTTATTTATTTTTTCCATGCAATCAAAACAGAATAGTCCATTACTTATGAGGTATTGGCAGGTCATAACATACATGTTAACTAAGGGCTGATCAAGCAGAATTATAATATCTCTAATCACTTGCAATATTGATACAAAAGTAAGCTTTAGTTTTATGCTTCTGCCCAGAAGGAAAACATAAAAACTTCTAAAGCATGAACAAAGCAAGATTGAATAGAAAACAAATGCAGAAAGATATACACAAGAAGAGATTAAGGAATAGTGAAAACTCATCAGCTTTCTTTTTTTACACACTTTTCACCCATTATATATATTTAATACTTTAAACATTATTTTGTAGTGGATAACAATATTTGTTTATTTTTAAACAAGATTTAATCCATCTAACAGTTTGTGTACTCAAAAAACTTAAGAAAATGTGTCCTCAGGTAGGATTCAAACTGGCATCCACCTTTTAAAGGAAGAATCACCATCTGATCTGGCATCCTTTTACTGCTTGGTTACAAAGAATATCACAATAAAGCAAGATTCTAGCTTGCCTTTAAGGCAAATTAACTCATTCTGAAGAGTTAATGGTTTTTACTTTTTAATCCAACAATTTTTTTTTTTTTTTGCTTAGATTATATATATATATATATGATTAATGTGAGTAATAGTTTGTCACTTAGCTGATTAATACTATCTTCAGCATCCTGACTCCAGGGTTACATAGGCAGACCTATCCATCCACTCTTCAGGTGGTACCAGCAATTTACTGCTTATATTTTTTTGTTTTTTTCTTTGTTGGTTCCAATCCCTCAGGGATAACAGTAAAAACATCTCCTCACCCTTATATATTACTATATTTGGACCGGAGTCATCATTTCAGTTATTACAGTCACAAAATTTCACTCACTGTATCCTCCAGTTTTCATGTACATCATAGTAATCTTTTGATTTGGTTGGTTGATTCATTTTCTATGGCTTATCAACCCTTTACAGGTTATTTAAACCCAGAATATATTTTTTGATTGTAAGAATTTTTAAGAGGTAATAATGGTTTAGTCATATGAGTTTTACTAATTAACCCATAGCTGGGGGTGAAGATGTGGATTCATAACTTTCCCAATGGTATTTGCACATAAGTGAATGTAACAAACCCAATGGGACATGGAACTTGACTCTCTGATTAACAATTCCGAGCAAATTATACATTGCACCACCCACACATTCAAGCTTACAGCACCTGGTATTACCAAGTGGTCATCCATCTAGGTATTGACCAGGTTTAATGTTGCTTAACTTCAGTGATCATATGGGAACTGGCATTTCAAGATGATGCGGCCAGAAGCCTAGTAATCTTTTGAGAACTTAAAACCTAACCCATTAATATATAGAGGCTAATTTTTCTTATATCAATAGCTGCATCTTCTGCAAGAAAAGCCAGTTCACTGTGTCGTGCCAAAAGGTTTTTTTTCTTATCAGAGTTTATCTTATACATCTACAAATCTACTATTTGTCCAAGCATTGAATATTGTTATATCTGGTCTGGTGCCCCTCCATTCATTTTGAGGTTCTTGACAAAATCCAAAAAAGGATCTACAATGTAATTAGTCCTGACTTGATATCTCAACTTCAGTCACTTTCTCTGACAAGCTATATTCTTTGATGCCCTGACTACATGAATTTAAGCATGCTACTAGATTGGCATCTAGGTCCCACCCTTTTACTGTTGAAATAGTTAAATGCAACTGCCACTTCTATACCAGCAGTTTCTTTTCACACACTTCCTGCCTGTGGAACTCTCTTCCTCTTACTTGCTTACCTTATCTTCAAAAATTTAATGCAATGTCAATCATCATCTTCTGAATGCTATATTATTTTTAAAGATATGCAAGCAAATGGAGAACCAGAGATTCGAAGTTATGACCTGCTGCATACATACAAAAAAATTCCTCTTAAGCTCATAGAGGCTGGTTAGAAAAGGATGTACATTTCAATTACACCCCCCACCAATACAGTTATAATACCCTTTTTCCTCCTTCCTCTTCTTCTCTTTCATTCTTCGCATCCTCTTCATCCCTGTCTACCACACCCAACGCCATGCATTCATTTATTTTTAAAAATAATAAAGTAACATTGTTTTTTCTTTTTCTTTTTTAATTAAAGCATTGGGAGGTCAACTGATAAAAATCAATTGAGGATACCATAAGGTTGAAACCAATGTAGTGAAATTAACTGATCTTTTGATTTTTAAAGTTAAAGGCTCTATATGTTATTATTTTTTTTTTTTCATGCATGTATTTAGCACTTTGTGATACTACTGTTTCCTGGTTAATTCAACTGACCATTAAACTTTTATGTGTGTGTATATATAAGAAATATTCTAACTGAACCATTACAACAATTATTATCGATTTTAAGAATCAAGCTCCTGTTTACATGGCACTGAACCTCACTGAAGAAAGAACCACTTCTATGGTAATAAAAAAATTACCATAGATATACAAAGTCACTTACTTTTAGACAAGTTCTATGAGAAAACATTAGCCAGCTGATGATATTAAACAAAGATTATAAAAACTGGAACAATTTACTTTCATCTTTATAAATAAATTTAAATTATAAGGAAAATTAATGCAAAATTTAAATGTGCAGATAGTGTTAGAGATATTTTTAAAAATCATCCCCCCCAACCCCAAAGTAAGGAGATGAAGCGTCTACGATGCAAGGTGTTAGTGAGTATCAATACAGAAAGGGGAATCGATGAACTGAATTCTAATTCTGGTCTAGTCTGTTGTGTTCACTTTCACACAAATGCTCTTGGGTAAAGGCATAGGTCTAGCTAGAGGTTAAATAGCAGGATAAACATGGCTCTCTAGCCTTGGTTGGAAACCAGTCTAGGAGAAGAACTATTCTGAATTCGAAATCATGAAAAAGGCAAGAGGAAACCACTTCCCAAGAATGCATGGTAATTCAAAGATAAAGACAAAAGGAAGCTGTAGAGAGTTATGATTAAAAAAAAAATGTAGAGTCATTAAAAAATACAAAACTTTTAGATTTGAAATTACCATTTTATTAGAACTTATGAAATGTTTTGAGTTCAATTGGTTTTCATATTATAATAAACGGCTGTCGTATTTGAACTTCATAGTTACTTTATCTACAAGAGATACAATCATAAACATTGTAACAATTATAAAAGTAAACTTGACAATTAACATACCTCCTGACATGTAATCATAATTTGTTGGTGCAAGAATAGAAAATTTAAAATTACAAGAATTCCAAAAGAGTATATGTAAAATGCAAATTATACTACATTTTCTATTTCAAGTTAAAGTATTTCTCAGAAAATAAACTATCTGAAGCTATTGTCAAAGTATTAATAAATAAAATAATAAGGATGTATTTTCAAATAGATACCAAGCATAACTTAGCAGAAATATAACTTTATAATCAATAGATGCACTTAATTCAGTTATGGATTCAACATCATTGTTTTTTTATGTGCCATATCTCTTCAAGACATTAGTGGCTCTCCACAATTTCTTGTCTTTAGTGGTTCTCAGTAAGGTTTGTTTTTTTTGCTATCTCTCCTATTCTGTTATGCCAAACAGTTACACATGCTCGTTAGGTTATTCACTGCTTTCCTTTCTCTTGTCTTCAATGTGTCCTGTGAGTGTCAAATTCTCCAAGTCCCCTTTTCTCATTATTTGCACTAGAAATTTCAACAGTCTCTTTCTGATTCTAAGTAGAAGTGTCCTTTTTGTTTCTATTTTTCCTCAAAATTTGTTACATGCCCAATTTATTGTATTCTTAGCATTCTTCTTAGAGAACCATATTTCTCTTGCTTCAAGTATCTTCTTTGCCTTTGAGAAGACTACCCAGAATTCACTGCTATATCAGAAGACCAATATTACATAACAGTACTCTACTTTTTGTTTCTAATATAATTTTCCTGTTGCTTTACTTAGCTTCTGGAAAGCATTTTTTTCACTATTCCAATGCACCTTTAGATTTTGGTGCTGCATTTTCTGCCTTCTGTTAAAACACTTCCTTGATATTTAAATTACACAGTGAAAATCCCACATTAAAATTTATTTAAAGTCTACTTGTCAGGCTGCGGATTTATTAGTTCACCAACATCTATACTTGTTAAGCAGTGGATCAGATGTAAAACTGTTTGGAATAATAGAAAAGTATTTTGGAAAAACTTTTAATTAAAACTAATTAACCATAAAAAATTTCAAGTTTTTTATATATATATATATATATATATATATATATATATATATAAAATAACTGTTTAAATGATAATTTTTATATATTTTCTTTTTTGCAGTGTATATAATTACTATATTGAATCACAGAAATAATGCTGCTGAGACCACATTATTAAGAGAAAAAGCTACAATTCCTAACATTCTTTGATACAAAGAGACAATTTATTTATTGTCAAATATCAGTTTATAAAAGTAGAAAAAAGCAAAAATATCAAAGTTTTTAAGTAAAAATGTATTGTAAGCAGATTGCTATATTTCTTTTTGTTTAGTAGTAGTAGCTGTGTAGAGAAATAATTTTTCATAAATAGGTAAATAATTCCAACAAGAAATCTGTGCAAAAGAAACACCAGAGACCTAATTGGCTTTCTATTCAACAAAATGCTGCTAGTGAATGCTGACAATCAAATATAGGATAACAAAATCTGAGCAATCATCATTTTCTTTTGGAGCAGTGACAGTGAGAATAGCAGAAGGTGTGGTGTATATGCAGCACCACGCAGGGGTGTGGTTGATAAGTGGCGGGTCATTATAATCAAAACCACCATCTTTACGCAGTGGTCTCTCCTGCACCTTCTCTAAACATATATCCACCATTTTGATTTAGAAACCATAACACCCTTTCCTGCCCACCCTAACAGCACCCTACCACATGCTTTCTGCCAGTCTTTGAATGTATTCTTGTTGTTGGAGGAAGAACTTCCTTGGCTAATGGACTACCATTTGAGAAGACAGAAATGCATTTCCTTCTACTGCAAAGAATTAATGAATACAAGAGGTGACTTGAGAGTGCTTTTCAATGGCACATCATTGCTACAGCAGCAGATGATGATGATGATGAGGATCTCCCAACAATGGCTGGTAGTTTAGATGAGGCCATGATCAAATTCCAACGCCTTCAGGCCATGTATGTGTAGACCAACTTAAGTCCAGCAACATTTGCGGAAGTGCTGATGAATAAGAGACACAGTACTGATTGTTGGCAGACTCTTAATGGAAGGCTTTTTTTTTATGCCACTTTTCCAACATGGTGTCGGAGAAGAGCCAAAAAGGGACATCATCTATCAAACATTCTCACTACTACTATTACCGCAACAATAACAAGAGTGGCAGTGGCAATATAATTCTATGTCTAAGGTATCAGAAGCCTAATGTTTGCAATGTGCCAGTCGAAAAGAAAATGGTTGAATCAACAATGTGTCTGCTGAGCAAGTGAGCTTGAGTGTAAGCCATAACGGAGAAAGGATTCTACTCTCAGCACCAAAGGGCACTAAAAACCAAGAAGTCAGCACACTGAGTACTTTCAGACTAATGGACTTGACACTACAATTCAAAAAGGGAAACCCCTGGATTTTTATTAGGAATTTTCAAGGATATAGAACATATATTCAAAATGAATCACACAAATTTATTTAGAAATCAGTGCAGGTAAAAGTAGAGTTGACCAATTAGATAATCAAACTTCACATCATATAAAGTCCCTAAAATGCATTAGATATCAACATAGAATTAAGTGTCGATTGCTTGAGATTTAAAATCATTGTTTTCAGTATGTCTTAAACTACAAATCAACTCATTTCAGAAAAATCGTAAGACTGTCACTTTCTTCATACATTTTTTTTCAGCAATAAAGAACATTATTAACATGAAAATGACAATTTGTTTAATAGAAAATTGAATAAAATATAATATTAATATTTTTTTCAATATTCTTCACTCACAGGCTATTCTATTTGTTTATTTATTCTAATTTGACCAAGGTGCCAAATTATAGTCTTGCAGACCGATTCACAAGTGCAGTCTCCAGAGGTGACCCACTATGATAATTTTGTACCAAGCTAATCTATAATTAGTAAATACCTATTCCAACTTAAAAGGAAGTTATTCTTTTTCCCTAAAGGATTCTTTTTCAATATGATTCTAATTAGAAACATTTGACTAAAGTGAAAAGATTAAGAAAAAAATGGTCATCCTTATGAGAGAGTTTAGATGAGAAGGCAAGGATAATAGTTTATCATCAATTGATTCACATACATTATTTACATATATATATATATATATAT